GCGTGCTGATTTTGATTCAATTCGGAATAGAACCGATCGGGTAGTCTCGAAATCAGATGGGTTTCTGAGCGAGAAGATGAACTTGATTCAGACTATATCTTTCTAATTTGTGAGTTAAATCAGCTATTGTTCCGATTAGAAATGTCAAAAGTTTCCGATCGGCCAGTTGTGAACCGCAATTATGCGCCTCGACTCGGAAGAGACGCAGTTTCCGATCGGGAGAGGCAATTTGTACTTTTGTAAAAATCAATCTGTACTGTCCTGAAAGGGGTGAAAGTTTGTATAGAAAAACCAATGAAACTATGAAAATTAGTATAGTAAAGTAAGCTACACGAAGTGCTTATTCTACGCACACGAAGTCGAGGGCACCAGTTGTTTATAAATTATAAGTTACAGATATGACCACATGATGTTGTTGTTACTTCATTATTTTTAAGAAATGGATTGTCTTTACTAAAATGTTCTGTGTGTTTACCTTTGCTAAAACTAGCCTTTCTTTTTTTTCAGCTAGTCAACATCAAACAAAAATAGTATGCAAATTTGAAAACAAAGATGGCGCCCCAAGAGCGAACTCCTTGTTGCGAGGAAGAAGATTCCCGCCAAAACTCAACCATAGACAACAATCTATCAAATATAGACTTGAGCGGCGGATTTATAAATAAAGGATTCGTTAGCGACAGTGTTACCAGTAATGAGAATTTCATAAATTCAGAAAATGATAACAAAAAGAAAAAAGATAAAGAAGCTACCGACTTTGACGACTTGTTGCCATACGTAGGGGAATTTGGGTTATATCAGAAAATATTGTTCCTATTAATGATTCCGTTTGCATTTTTCGTGGCATTTGTTTATTTTTCGCAAATCTTTATGACTATTGTGCCTGAACAACATTGGTGCTGGATTCCGGAGCTGGCGAACTTAACTGTAGAAGAAAGGTAAGTTGTTTAGTTAATTCTTACACCAAGCTTTTGCGATTCAAATTTATATGTTATTTTTCAACATGATTTAAAAACATCTTTTGTACTGTACAGAGGAGTACTATTCCCTATACTATACTATAGTATATAGTCCCATTGTCACCGAGAAGTCAGAATTTGATAAGGAGATCCAACTCAATTTGAATGAAAAAAACTTTTTATTAAATTTCTCCCACTTCTGATGTCCCGATTTTTTTCGTCCCATGCAAAGAATTGATTAACTTACATGAAACTGAGTTAATCAGCACTAAAAAAAATTTGATCAATTTTATTCATTTTTATTGACAAGTCTCAATTGTATTTTATTTTTTTTATATTCTAATTACACAATTATATTTTAATTCAGTTAAAAGATAATCTTACTACTTTATTTGTGTCAGTTTTGTCATCTGTTAACTTATTGTTACCTCTTACAGTAGAAAAACTAAAGCCTCTCTACAAATGTCATATTAAATGTATGGAAGCGTTCAATGTTAAAATTTTGGATAAAAATAAAACTTTAAAAAAGTTATTGATGTCGATTTATTCATTAGGTCACGTACTTTGGATATCAGTTCAAAGCTTTTTGATATCTCTTATATTTGTGGAATAATCGCCTGGGCACACTTAACGATTACACCACGTATAACTTATTATAAGCAAGTGTAATGTAAATATAGGTTTGTTACGGTACTTATTTATTTTTATAATAAACCTTGAACAATGCAAACTTCCGATAAAATTATTGACGTAAGTAATATAATTATTCAAATCAGCTGTAGCAGCAGAATATATTAACCTGTAAGCAACACGACATACGGTCTGTTAGTTTTTTAAAGCATAATTACTATGTACTGTTTCCGTGATGTATTTTGTGTAAAAAAGGAGCAACAAAAACATCTTAAACATATGGTCTCAATCGATTTTTTTACGTAAACAACTCGTGTTGAATGTATAAATAGTCCTAGTGATTATTTGTTTGCGGTTGCGTTTATGCGTTTGTGCGTTTGTCAAATAATGTACGTTTTTAGTGTGTTTATAGATATTTTTTTATAATATCAATTGACGGGACATACAAGTCGTGCGGTAAATGTAACGTGCGGTAAACCACCAGGCGGTAAACGAAACGCCTATCCATAAGAATTACAGTGCTACTCAGGGGCCCTACTATGAGCTTATAAGCAATCAGCCAAATTCCATACAATTCACATGACGTGGTATAACTGAATTGCTTAAATTCGTATCATGACGTACACAAAGTTGAACGGGAATGGCAAGGCAAGATGAGTTAGCAAGAACTAGTTGGCATCTCCCAATAGCGAGATGGAAATACATACTAAATCATATAAAAGAAATAGACAGATGTACTACCCTGGGAGCGTTCAAGAACTATTAACCGATTGTGTTCAAAATGAGATAATTATATTTTTTATTTATTATTATTTAAAATCATAATTTGTCGTAAGACGAAATTACATGTCATGCAATGAATAAGATGAGTTTGTAATTTGATAATATAATTGGAACGTATCTTGTATTCGTACATTTTCATGATTTTCATCGATTAAATAATGCGTTAAAGTCCAATTTGGCGCTACGTAAAAGTTATTTTACGATTTTCGCTAAGTCAGTAAAATTATTAAAATACAATTTAAAAATTGCAATTACATTCATTCTAATAATTTATCAACAATACTCCGTAGATGGGAAACTCGAACTAAACTATTCAAAACGGTTCAATAGTTAATAGTATTTATTTACTCACAATTGGCTATATAGCCTAAAAAGATAACAAATAATTATGAAACTCAAAATATAATAACACTTAAACGTAAAAATGTAACAAAATCTCGACATTTCAAAAAAAGGTAGTCACGGAGTAACTTTCTTTGGATTGCTTATTCTGACAGATAATACCGCCATGTGCATGGCAAATGACACATCGTGATACGATTTTACTATGAAAAAAAGAAAGGAAAGGGAAAGAAGGAAAAGAAAAAAGAAAGGGAAGAAAACGGATTTCGGATGGGGACCGTAAACTGCATGGACAGTGAATTGTTTTTGGGAGCTCATACCGCGAATTTGACAGGCTATCCAACTTACGGGCTTAAGAGGGAGCAGAGGAAAAACTCCTAATCTTCGATTTGATTTTAGAGGGGTATATCCACTTTAAAGTTAAAAATAAAATATTGTATGAGTAACGACACGATATATTCAAGCATAGACATTAATTAGAAACATAAAACAATAAAGTTTCCTCGATAGATAAAAATCACGAAATGACCTCTAATTTTCACATTTTTTCGATTTATCCTGTAGCATTACAAGTTATTAGGACAAAAATTTGATAATTAATTATATTTATGCATGATCGACAACTATCACTACGGATTTTTTAAAATCCCTTTAGTTTTAGAGTTATTTCGCTAAAACGAATTTGGTACTTTTAATGCGCAAAATTCAACATCTCCTGTCGCATGTCACGCGAACTTCAGGTATATATTTGTTTCACAAATTTGGACGGAGCCAACGTCAAAACTTTTTTGGTATGCTTAAATAGGATTGCTATAAGAGCTCACAGTAGGCCCCCAGAGCTTTAAATCGCAAAGATCATAGTCGTCGTTGTAGACATGGCTCTACAACATATCAAAATATTGAATCTCTAGTGACAATGAGAGAAAGAACAAAGGCAAACTCATAATTAAAATAATTCGTTAGCGTCTTCAAATATCTTAATTAAAAGTTTGAATAAAATAAATACATTAGGTTTTTCAAATTATAATAGCGGCATAACTAAGTCTGGAAATAAAATCGTAACTAATTTGTAAGGAAACGGACTGATATCTATAACTGTCAGTCTCTTAGTTTCTTAACGTTGAGCGACATCTAGCCGCCAAAAAAAGAACTTCGGTGCCTACATATGAATATGGTCCACATGAAATTAGTTCACGTAATATCAAATGTATTGATTCGACCGATTTGTAATAAGGTATTAACTACTTCATTACAAAGTATAAAGTAGATAATTCTTTCTCTAAAATGCCACGCGAGAAAATAGCAAAATTGACAAAAAAGTTCCCGAAATCAGAGATAGATGGCACGTTTCACAAAAAAAATAATTTGTGTCCGAGTTTCCAATGCAATAGTTTAATTTAGTCGTGGCTTAACTTCATGCTTTTTTACCATACCAGTATAAAAAATAATTCCCTCTGAACTTTCGTTCATTCAGCTTCTATTAACTCTGTTTGAGGATTCTGTAATTTATTTTGATATAATAATACACCGAACTTAGAATAATAACGCATAGAAACCTAGTCCGCACACGTTAAGTGAGGCAAATTGAAGCGCTCCCAATGGGCCTACACGAGCGGGCGGACCTTCAGTGCTCAAGGTCAACTTGCATCGCGGACAGCTCAAGAATTTTAGCTAAAAATGACGAAATGTGCGGTAAATGAGTGTAAAAATACGTCAGACAAACATAAAATAGATACTAACATCACATTCCACAAGGAAGTAACGCGTTTCAACTTGTATTTTTATATAAATATTCACTAAAACCGAAAATTAACCTACTACTAAAACTAGCCTACATGAATTTGATTTTTGCCTCACATGTGACAGTTCGTTTGATATGAAACTATCATTCCATGCGTTATTATTCTAAGACACCGAATATATTTTATTCAATTAAGTACGTAACACATAACCTCCAAAACTTCAAACCGTCATATCTTTAATACTAGACTTCTCAGAATAGTAAACCCAAAACAAAATTTGTTCAGGAATTTCAAATCAATATTTCCGCATACAAATTATGTCAACATAAATTTATATGGGAGTTTGTCATTATTCTTTGTTTTGTTGTACAATAAAGTATTTACATACATACATACATACATACATACAATTGGCAAAACACGATCGCTGAATGTGTTAAATAGCAGAGTTATAAAATGTCACATAATATACATAATTTGTTTTATTCGTATTGTTTTCATGGCTTAACATGTGATAAAAGCACTTTTGCAATACGATCACATATCTTTATTATACGAGGAATGCGACTATTGTGTACCTAAAATACAACTTTATGTATCGCAATTATCTACCTAAAAATATGATCAGATTCACGGACGATTAAAAACTTCGTCGGTTTGTAAACGCTTGTATCCGGTAGCTGTGGGCAGCCTTCCGGACCGGCGGACCGGACATCCGTTAAACAAATAACTAATGAATCCAAAAGGCGTAATTTCTGTGTTTTGTGTGTCTATGTATTCCCATGGCTTAGACTTTGTACGGCTGACATGGCATTTGTTATCTTTATTTATTTTTATTCAACACACTCTGGCGCAGGGTCGAAGCGTCGCGACGCATGTTTTTCGCTTAAAGCATATTCATCTCTATTTTCCCATTCTTAAGGTACAAATATATGATATGCAAGTATGCTATACGTGTACTTGCATATCATATCATCGTATACAAGTATAGTAAACTATGCTGTGTTCCGGTTTTGAAAGGTAAGGGTGCTAGTGAAATTACAGGCACATGGGACTTGTCAACTTGTCTCAGGGTGATGGCCGCAGTGGCAGTGCCCCTCAGATCTTTGCGATTTAAAGGTCTGAGTGGTGCTGCAACTGTTATGGACAGGCGTGTAGCTTAACATCAAGTGCACGACTTGTTCGTCCCGTTACTTAAGAATATAAAAAAAACACGCGACACGACGCTTTGACTTTGCTCCAGTGTGAGTTGAGTCTAGCGTGATTTACGGGAATCTATTGTAATCAGTCCGTAGACAACATATATTAATGTTTACTGTGCAAAAATTAGTTGTATATTAAAAATAAGTTTTGATTGGTTTGCATGGTGTCACATTTATGGGAACAATATATTTAAAGATCTTTGTAAAACCGTATAGCAAATAAATAAAGATGAATATGAATATAACTTTGAACACTTTATATTCTTTTGAACAATGTGAC